CAGTTAACGCTCCATTCCCAGGTCCTGGACACCCTTAAGTCCTTGAAGTGAACAAGATAGGACTGATTCACACCTCTGTTTCCTGTCCATGCTTGTTTCCCTCCATCTCTCCTCTTTTACAACAGGCTCCCTTTACTCCCCACCCCTCTCCCTCTCAGGATTGTAGTAGGATGCAGCACAAGCAATGGTGAGGGCAACCTGACAATCACCTTTATTTTCTATTTATCTATTTGTGGCACCATCGAATAGCAATTACACACAAACATACACATAGAGTCCTTGACCTACAACCACAATTGAGCCCAAAATTTATCCTGCTAAACAGGGCAGTTGTTAAATGAGGTGTGCCACATTTTATGACCTTTTTTGCCATACATGTTCAGTGAATCACTGCAGTCATTAAGCGAATCTGGTTTCTCCCATTGACTTTGCTGTTTGGAAGCCAGTGAAGGTTACAAATGGTGATCACCTGACCCTGAGACAGTGCAACTGTCATAAATATATGCCAATTGCCAAGCACCTGAATTCTGATCATATGACTGTGGAGATCCTGCAATGGTCATAAGCGTGAAAAACGATCATACTTTTTCAATACTATTGTAACATCAATTATTAAACAAATGGTTTTAAATTGAGGACTACCTGTATGTGTATGTATGTAAGTACTGTGTGTGTATGTATGTGTGTATGAATGAAAGAAAATACAGTACACTCAAGTTGTGAATGAGTTTTAACAATTGTTGGGAATGATGTTAAGTAGCCCTAAGAGAAATCCCTGAAAAACTTACAGAACACATATTATAGGGAACAGCAGCAATCTCAGTTTTATGGGTAAGTCACCACTGCTCTATGATACAGTTTCCCATCTCAGAAAGTTGGTCCACAATGACAGCATTGGGAAAAATACTACAGGTTCTCAGGAAATGCAGGGCGGTCCACAAATCTGTAAGACATTCTAACATAATGACTCAGTTTCTCTCCCAAAATGAAATTGGAAGTAAAATAACATTCATTGACGTTAATGGAACATATTTTTAGCAGTTCTAGTTTTTAATCAATGTTTTTATATTTTTTATTATAATCATATACAAAAACTAATTCATATACTGCATGACAAAATAAAAATAAAAAGATTCCAATATACTGAAAACATTATTTTATATAACCCATCTACCTATAGACCATAATATTGTATTATACTTGGAATATTTAGGATATTTTCCCCTCTTTTGGATGAACATATAAGACGTTCAACAAAGTTCTTAGGCACAAACAGTAATATGTGCAGTTTAAATGCATAAGCAAGACACAGGGCAGGGATAAGAACCTTAAATTACCAACATTAAATTTAGGCGATGTAAGCAACAGAAGCAGACACAGAGGCTGCTGTTGTCTGAGGAACAACCACTTGTTACACATGTTGCAATTTTAGAGTAAGAATACTTTCCAAAAGAAATCTAACAACACTTCATGTTCCTCTTTTAAAACATTTCCTCTTTTAGGAACAGCCTAACATTATGTTGAATTTGTTTTGAATCTTGTAAATTATTAAATTAATACTGGTATGTGGATACACAAATTTGCCAGGCTTGCACATTGTACTGACTAAACTACAGAATTAAAATCCATGATTGGCTGAAGAAGTCATAAAGGAGGGGTTTACCCAACACAGTAAGCTAAAATGAAAGAACAAATGCCCTAATAGGTCATTCCTTTCCCTTGAAAGAGTTCAAGTTCTTGAGATCATTTTTCAAGTATTTTTCTGCATTTGGAACATGCTGCTATGCTATGAAGCTGGCCTACTTAAAATAGAAACCTCTGCTGGATCTTTATTTTCTCTATTGGCTTAAACACTCCTTTTTTTCCAGCTGGCTTGGCCCCTTTAATGATGACCAATAGTTTTCAGTGTTCCTGATACCGGGGAATACATACATACCGGGGAATACATACAAAACTGATAACTGTATGGTTTTTAATGGCCAACCATCACTTTGATGGGCTATGAAGGCGCAGGAGCTGATCTAAAACAATAGGCAATTGATTTAGAGCTGCAAGCAGATTTATCAGTGTTCTCTAGAAACATCTTCTTGAACTACTCTGCACACCTACTCCAAACAGCCAGATTCCTTAGCCACATGCTGATTCCTAAATTTAGAAGGATTTATCCTTGTCTGGATTCAATGCCTTCCCAACAGCTACTGAAAAGAGACACCCAAAGATCCCTTTTAAAACATGTATTATTGCCACTACAGACGCTCACCAGAAGTTTCTTTCATAACATATCTTGAATCAGAACAGTCAAGCAAGTCAGAACAGACTTGCTTTATCTTAAATTGTTATTATCAGATAAATCTGATTTTACTTCCTCAACCACACCCTCTATTAATTTGTGTTAATTAATTCAATTATTAACTAAAAGAAATCATATTGGTTTCTTTCAATTAAAAATTAAACCAGTATATATGGTTTAATACACTGTATGAATAATTTACTAGATATTTCAACTCCTTAATATGTTATAATTTCCTTGGTCAGGGTGTGACATTGTCCAGATGACAGGTTGTATCAGTCGGATCTGACGCTGGCTGAGTCATAATTTTTGACCACACCCCTTGCTCCTCCCTTTCAGGCTCAGTTTCGACTCAGTTGGCCTGAGAGAAACATCTCCTGCAGATTTGGCTCTACAACCCAGGTCTGTTCGATATCATAGTATTTGTAAGCTTTTTTGTCCACTTATTTTTCTCTATCTTTAAATTTGTTTTTTTTTTACTTTAAATTTTTCTAAGGTACCGGTCTACCAGGCTATTTATTTCTTGTAGCCTGCCGGTCTTTGCATTACTGGAGCGACCTGGTCTCCCAGGCTTGCTTCACTCCTGGCAGCGGCTATTTTGGAAGCCCCATTTTAAAGGGAAATTTTTCTTTTTCTTCCCTTTTTGTTTTGGTGGGGTTTTTTCAACACTATTCCACCAACGATTACAAGAGGGCTCAGATCACTATACCACCAACAATTTAAAGTGATTTCCTGGTGTTAACCCAGGATCACTAAATACAGCTCCCAGCACCGCCGATCAGCTGTAGGGCGGCTCTTTGAAGCGCCGCGGCATTTTTAAACACAGTTTTGCCGCTTTGCCACCAATGAGGCTGCAGCAGAGGCTTGGAAGCAATTTTCCTTCCCCTCTTATCACCAACAAGATTTAAGGAGAGTGGCAAGTTTCTTCCTTGCCCTCTCCCTGTGGCATTTCCAGCCAGCGGTTTTTGGGATTGTGGCTGTAGAGGCGCTGAAGAGGTCCGTTTCTAGGATTTCCTAGACAGTCACCTCTGGAGCAGAGTTGATCCTGCTCACGTGTGACCTGGCAGCCATTGCGCTTAATGCCAGAGTCGTCGCCATCTTGTTATCAATCCACGTGGCGAAAGTGAAACTAAATCTTCTCCAGTCGACATCTTGGTCACAGTAAGTATACCAAAGATGGCGGATCGTTCTTCCCAAGGGGAGGGTAATACTATGTCCACAGGAAAGAAATCAACTTCCAAAGCAAGCACCTTTCCAAAGCAGAGGAAAAGGATTTAGCAAGGAGGCATAAAACCTTAGAGAAACAAATTAGTGAGGTTTCTGCAACTGTGCCCAGTAAGGAGGCTTCTCTTCCCCCATCTACCCCTCCTCTTCCCATTTCGGCCATTAGCCAGGCTTGGTCATCAGAGGGAGAGGGAACTGTTCTTCAACAAGAACAAAGCACCTTACAAAACCTTTTTGCAAGCCAATTAATAACTCCTGCAACTCCTGAATTTGGTGGGCATGTGGCAGCAGTTGCCTCTACAAGGGAATCCCCCATGACTGTGCAAACTCCTGAAGATCCTTTTAAAAATATGCCAGAAGGATTGAGGATTCTGATTGATCAAGCCATTGCTTCTCGAGTGGCAGCTACCATTCATGGTCACCACTCTGGCTCTGTTATTTCAGAGCGATCTGCTCAAATTAGAGATTCCCCTGCAGTCAGCCTTACTGGCTCTCATTCTCCTGCAGCCTCCAGAGCTAGTGAAGCCTTTGTGTTTGAGGAAAAGTGTCATTCTAATCTATCTGATGATGAAGGGGTAATTCAAGATCAACCTGCCTTTACAGGTTTATTTCCCCCTAATAAATTCAAGTCTTTATTGCATAAGGCTCACTTAATGGCCGTCTTAAAGGAAGATGAATATCCTAAAGAGATGCAGGAAGCCCAGCAGGGTGGATTACAGGGACTTTTTTCTGACACCCCCCCCCCGAGCAGTGTTATGTTCCAACTCCACAGCTGTTCATAGACGTGGTAAAGAAACAATGGGCTGGGCCTGCAACCATGGCCTCTGCACATGGTTCAGATAAGAAATATTATGCAGTTGCTCCAAAGTTTGCTCAACTCTTACAAGTTCCCCCAGTGGATAGCCCTGTAGCAGCCCTTTCCTCTTCATCTTCATATGTGGCAGGGGATAACTCTGAAGGTCTACGGCCCGAGGACAAAAAATTGGAATTTATTTTTAAAAAGAACCATCAGGCTGCAGCATGGGCAATTCAATCAGCTTCATCAGCCTCATTTTTTAACAGAACTACCATCCTTTGGCTTCAACAGCTACAGGCAAGGGTGCCCCCCAGTGAGGTTCGCCTCCATCAGGATATTAATAAAATCATTGCTGCCACTCAATTTTCAGCTGATGCAACCTTGAATTCGGCCAAATTTGCATCCAGAGCCTTAGCCTCTACAATTTCTGCTCGCAGAATGCTCTGGCTTTGCCAATGGCCTACTGATCTTAAGGCCAATTGGTGCTTAGCTGCAGCTCCATATTCTGCAGATAAATTATTTGGGAAGTCGCTTGACCCTCTTCTTTTTTTTTTTTATTGCAAAAGTTTTACAATTACATTTTCACCCCATTTTCCCCCCCCCATCCCAGCCCCCACACCCCACCCTAACCCCCCCTAACCCTCCCCCCTGACTTCCACAAGTCCACAACCCCATCAAAATCCCCTTTTTATAAAACTTGAACCCCTCAGACCCCCTTAAAAAATTTTTTATCTTCACAGTTTTCATACATTTCTATTTTTATATAATACTTTCAATGAAAAACTATTTGGTACTTTCTAACTTGATATTTGTTCTGCACATAATCTATCCATTTTTTCCATTCCCATTCATAAGTCTCTTGTGAGCGATCTTTTAAATATGCTGAAATCTTCGCCATCTCGGCAAAACTGGCCATCTTCAAAGTCCATTCTTCGATAGTGGGTAAAGCTTCATTTTTTCCAATATTTACCTATCAATAATCTCGTTGCAGTTATCATGTACAATATCAACTTAATTTCATCCTGTGTAAAACCCTTTACTATACCCAATAAAAACAATTGTGGAGAAAATGGAATTTTTTTCTTCAAAATATTCTGCATAACCCACCATATTTTTATCCAAAAAGCCTTAACTTTCTTACAATTCCACCAAACATGATAATATGTAGCATCTAAACAATCACATCTCCAGCATTTTGGCTGAACATTAGGATACATACAGGATAATTTCTTGGGATCTAAATGCCATCTGTAAAACATCTTATAAAAATTTTCCCTCAAATTCTGCGATTGCGTAAATTTAACATTCTGAACCCATATTTTCTCCCATGTTTCCAACATTACTGGTTCTGCAAAATTCTGTGCCCATTTAATCATGCAATCTTTAACCAATTCAGTTTCTGAGTCCCTTTCTAACAAAACATTATATAGCCTTTTGATATGCATTGGACCTTTCTCTTTTATATGTCTAACCAACTCTTCCTCATGCAACATAATACCAGTTTTTTGGTCCTCTTTCCATCTCAGTTGAAGTTGATTGTATTGTAACCAAGTTAAATTAATCCCTTCGCCCAACAGTGTCTCTAATGTCTTCAGTTGCCATCTGCCCACATCTGTAAAAAGAACCTCTTTATATAAAAACCCCCCGAGTGACATTATATTTGTATTCCAAATAATATGACCAAGATCCAGCCACAACGGTATTTTATAATCCCATTTGATTCGGTGCTTCTTCCATACTCTCATCAGAGAATCTCTAAGTATATGACTTTTAAATACTTTATCCACTTTGTTTTCATAAAACAAGTAAGCGTGCCAACCAAATTCGAGATCAAAACTTTCTATATTCAATATTCCAGTCTTTTTCCTTCCAAACCAATCGCTTGCTTGAGTCAAAGCTGCTGCTTCATAATATAACTGTAGGTTTGGAAGTTTGAGACCTCCCCTTTCCGGAACATCTTGCATAATTTTCAATTTAATTCTCGGTTTTTTCTCGTTCCAGACAAACTTATTCACTCCAGTTTGCCACTCTTTCAGTTGTTTATCACTTTTAAGCACCGGAATCATTTGGAACAAAAAAAGAAATCTTGGCAAAATGTTCATCTTCACTGCTGCTATTCTTTCAAGTAAAGAAAGCTGCAGTTTTTTCCATGTCTCCATATCTTTTTGTACCTCTCGCCACAACACCTCATAATTATTTTGAATCAGTTTCATGTTAGATTCTGCAACCTGAACTCCTAGGTATTTAACCTTTGAAACAATCTCAAAACCTGCCCCCTTTTCAAGTTCATGTTTTCAATCTTGTGTCATATTTTTGACTATCAGTTTAGTTTTTTTCTGGTTCAGTCTAAATCCTGATACTATACCATAATCTTTTATAATGTCTTTCATCAGGATTATTGATTCCACCGGCTGCGTTAGGGTAACAACCAGATCATCTGCAAATGCCCTTATTCTGTAATCTTCTTGCCTTATCACTATACCTTTCAAGCTGGTCGAATCCCTTATTGTGTTCAACAAGACTTCTAATGTTAAAATAAATAACAAAGGGGATAACGGACAACCTTGTCTTGTACCTTTTTCAATTTTAAAGTCTGTTGTCAAACTTCCATTAATGATAATCTGTGCCTTTTGCTCTTGGTAAATTGCTGAAACCGCCAGTATAAATTGATCCCCAAAATCCATTTTTTCCAAAGTCTTTAATAGAAAATTCCAATCCACTCTATCAAAGGCTTTCTCCGCATCCAAAAAAGCCAGCACTGCAGGGATCTGTTTATTCTTCTCAAGATATTCCAATAAATCTATCACTTGCCTTTCATTGTCCTTCATGTATCTACCCTCTATAAATCCCGCTTGGTCATCATGAATCACCTCTTTAATTACTGGCATCAACCTGTTGGCTAATACTTTTGCATAAATTTTGTAGTCATTATTCAGAAGAGATATTGGCCTATAATTTTCCGGTTTTTTAGGACCTGCTTGCTCTTTTGGTATCAAAGAGATATAAGCTGTTTTCCATGATGGGGGTATTTTACCCCCTCGTTGTATATTACAAAATAAGTCTCTAAGTTGTTCCACCATTTCTGCTTGTAAAGTTTTATAATACACTGCAGTCAAGCCATCTGTTCCCGGAACTTTGGCAGTTTTCAGTTGTTTTATTGCTGCAATTATCTCCTCAGCTGTTATAGGATGATTCAGTCTTTCCTTTTGTTGATTAGTAACTTTTGTAATTCTTTTATTTTCTAAATATTTTTCTATAAGTCCATTCTGTATGTCTTCTTTAGCATATAATTTAGTATAGTAATCTACAAAAACTTCTTTAATTAATTTTTGTTGATAAATTTCTGTCCCTCCAATATCAATACAATCAATGGTCCGCATACTCTGCTTCTTCCTTAAAGTATAAGCCAGCCATCTGCCCGGTTTATTGGCATTACAAAATGTATTATGCTTTGCATATTGTAAATTTGTTGCAACTTGGTCCGCCATAAGCATTTGAAATTGGTCTTTCAAAAGTTTTATAGCACTATGTGTTCTTTCAACTGTTGGATTTTTAATAAGTAGCTGTTCTTTTTTCTTTATTTCTACTTCAATTTCAGCTCTTTTCTTTTGTCTATTCAGTTTATATTTAGAGTTCATATGAATGAGTACCCCTCTCATATATGCTTTACTCGCGTCCCACACAATTTCAATAGGGGTACCCTTGTTCAAATTAATATCAAAAAATTCTTTCATCTGCTTCTTGAGTTCAATTATATTTTTTTCATATCTAAACAGATTTTCATTTAGTCTCCATGATCTTCTCTCAATTTTTGCAGTCTCGATTTCTATCCATACTGGACTGTGATCAGATAAAGTTCTTGGAAAGATTTTAGTTCTTTTTGTTTTAACAAGTAAATCATTTGATACTAAAATAAAATCAATCCTTGAAAAAGATCTGTGTCTATCAGAAAAAAAAGTATAATCCAAGTCTTTTAAGTTATGTATTCTCCAAACATCCTTTAGTTCCAAATCTTCTTTCATTTCAAAAAAAGTTTGTGGTAGTCTAATCTTTGACTTCACCAGACTTTTTTTGTCTAATTTGGAGTCAATTACTCCATTCCAATCTCCCATAATCAAAATTGATCTATAGTCCCATTGCAATATTTTAGTATGCATTTTTAGTATAAAATTTTATAAAAATGATCCTGCTGTTGGTTAGGAGCATAAATCCCAATCACAAGAATTTGGCCATATGCAGTACACAGTTCAATTGCTACAAACCTACCACCTTCATCTGCCTCTATAATTTTAGCTGACAATCTTTTATTTATATAAATAACCACTCCATTCTTTTTTTCCAAATTTGAGGCTATAAAATGTATTCCTAACTTTGAGTTTATCAAATATTTTTGATCTTGCGTTCTAATATGAGTTTCTTATAAACAAATTATATCATTATTAAATTGTTGTAAATATGTAAATATTTTCTTCCTTTTCTGTGGTGAGTTCAGTCCATTCACGTTCCAAGACAAAAACTTAACCATCATGCATACCTTTTTGAAGCAACGAGCAAGATTGCCGGATGTCTTCCGAGGCCACCGACTTTGCTCTCCCCATGGCTTCCCTTTGTTCTGTAGTACTCTTAGTTCCTTTTTTATATTGTTGTGCCATAGCTCTTTCTTGCAATTGTTTTTCTTTAAGTTGTTTTGAAACTGCACGAGTTATTCGCTGGTCTTTAGCTTCAGCCATACGCTCTAGGTCCAATGCCACATCTCTTGTAGTCAGAATTGGAGAGGATTCTAACAGGGGTTCCTCCAGAAAACCTCCTACAGCACCCTGCGCTTCTGTTGGGTCTAATTCAATCTGCTTAAGCTGCACTTCCAACTCTTGCTGGGGTTGCTTCTCCTTCTCACTCTCCTTTATCTCCAATACAGTAGATGAACGTGGCGATGGTGATCTCTCCTTGAAAACATTATAATAGAAATATACCGCTTTTTCAACAGTATTCAGTTGGTGTCTTTCCCCCTGATATTTCAAAATTATGCCTGTTGGAGCATCCCATCTGAATGGGATTTCTAATTTGTTTAATTCCTTTACTAAAAAACCAAAATCTTTTCTATCTTTCAGCATCTTTGGTGGAAGTTCTTTATAAATTCCAACCTCAGTTCCCTCAACTTGCACAGAGGAAAGGAAAGATTTTTGCAGAATATCATTTCTCATTCTTCTATCTGTGAAGTATATCACCACATCTCTTGGTAATTGTCTTTGTCTGGCCACCCATGAGTTCACTCTGTAAATTTTATCTATTTTGTAAAAGATCTCATCAGAATTAATTTTTAACAACACAGCCAAGGCATCAGCACAAATCTGTCTCAAATCTTGCCGGTCACTCTCCTTAATCCCTCTAATTCTTATGGCAAATTCCATAGACCGGAATTTCATCATCGTGATTTCATCTTCAACTCTCTGTATTTTATTATCCACATCAGAAATTTTAAAATCAGTATCCTTTATTTTAACATTCACTTCTGATTTAAATTCTTCCAATTTGGAATCCACTTTGATAATAATTTCTGACAGGCCAGAAACTGCGTTTGATAATTTATCAGTCACCTTGTCATAATTCTCTTTCACCAAATTTTTCATTTCAGTAATTTCCTGCTTAATTTCCTGTTGAGATTTTTGAAATTTATCATCCAAAGCCTGCGTGATAAATTTTTTTAAGCTTTCAAAATCAAACTGCTCTTCAGGCTTGTGTGTGGGAGATCCCCCCCCCCCGTTGCCTTGCTTTCCTGCTTTTTAGAAGCCATTTTATCACGTGAGTTAGATTTTCTAAAAAGAGAAATCCTTTTTCTTTTTCTTCCAGCACCACAAAGTCCTCTAAAAAAATCCCCCAGCTTTAATCAAATTAGAAGTAAACTTGTATGAAATCAGCTTATTTTAGAAAGGGATTTTTTCCCACCCCTCTTTTCCTGTGCTCGTAACAAACAGCGCTACAATGTAGCTTATTAGAATAGCTTTAGAAAGTCACTTTCCCTTTCAGCTTGTTAACTTGTTAGCGCTGGAGCGGCGCCATCTTTTCAAGCCGCTTCCACTCACTTAAATTTTTAATCAGATCAAGAAGTCACGAAGAAAGGAAAATACTTGCAATTCCTTGGTTTCAGGGTTTCCCCGTTAATTAGTAGGGTTAGATTCAATCAATTTGTTTGCTGCTGCCGGCTTGCTCTGCATTAGCAGAGTCGTCCCAGAGTCTTCGCAAGTTGAAAGGGAGCCGCGCCTGTTTCCTCCCCAGTAATAAACTTCTGGGGGCTCACAGGGGCTCAACCTGCGCCTTGCCAACTCTCTCCTTCAAATCCTGCAGATTCTGGAGTTTTCAAGCCGCTCCTCACGATCGAAGCGGCTCTACAAACGGCGGGGCTGACGGACCTTAAAAAAGGCACGTCTTCACCGGAGCCAGGAAAACCGGAAGTCCGCTTGACCCTCTTCTTGTAGAGACCCGGGACAAGTGAAAGATTTTGCCTTCAACGTACAAACCGTCTGACAGAAGGTCCTCTCCATATTACAGGAGAGCTTCCTTTCGTTCCTACTCCCAGGGAAGTCTCTCCAGGCAGGAATATCTTCAGGGATCTTATAGGTCTTCGGACTGTCAATACTTTCGGGATAGGAACAGGCAATTCCAGTCCAAGCGGACCTTTCGCAGCTCTGGCTACCGCCAGTCCCGCAGTCGTAAGTGACTCACTGCCAAATCCTCCAATAGGGGGTTGCCTATCCCTCTTTGCAGACAGGTGGGAAAGGTCAACACCAGACCTCTGGGTCCTTTCAGTAGTGAAATTCAGCCTCCCCCTGGAATTCCTCTCCAAACCTCCGACCCGCTTCCTTCAATGTCCACCTTCCAAAAGCGAATCCAGACGTCAATTGATGAACCAGGCTGTTCAGCACCTCCTGCAGATACACGCCATAGAGGAGGTCTCCCACGAACAGTGGAAACAGGATGGATTACTCCATCCTGTTCGTAATTCCGAAGCGGTCGGAGGGGTGGAGAGCCATTCTGGATTTTAAAAATCTCAACTCCCACATAGTGTATCGCAGATTCAAAATGTGTTCACTAACCTATTCTTCAAGGGATTCGTCCCAACAATTTTTTAGTTTCCATAGGCCTCATGGAGGCTTACCTTCACATCCCCATCCTACCAAATCATCGACATCTCTGACTCAGCTATGCAGGTAAGCATTTCCAATACTGGGCTCTTCCCTTCGGCCTGGCATCTGCACTAAGGGTATTCACAAAGGTCCTAGCGGTCGTGGCAGCTCACCTGAGACAAAAACCGGTAAGGCTCCAGGCTTACCTGGACGATATTCTGATTCAGGCTCACTCTTGAGACCAAGCCTTACACGACTTGAACCTCACGATCCGAACCTTGAACGATCATGGGTTCCTGGTCAACTACAAAAAGAGTCAGTTAGTACCGGTCACCAGGATCACCCATCCTGGCGCCATCATCGACACAGGTCAAGAGACCGTCTACCTGTCCTTGGAACAGAGGTCAGACATCAGGGACCTGGTGACTCATATTCGCAAAAACCTGTCAGTTCCATTGGCCACTTTATCCAAGCTCCTAGGCAAGATGGTTTTCTGCATTCAGATCGTTCCTTGGGCGCACCTTCACGCCCGCCACTTGCAGTGGTTCCTGCTTCCCTTTCAACGGAAACGCCAGGCTCACACCATGTCGACCGTCAGAGTTCCACTCTCAGTCAGGCGATCGCTATATTGGTGGACATAGTCTTCTATAGACAAGGGGTGCCTCTTCATGAATCACGACCGGCTTATACTCACTACAGATGCCAGCCTACATGGATGGGGAGCTCATCTCGCATTGCACGTAGCTCAAGGCCGTTGGTCTGCCTCCGACCTCACCAACCCTATCAACTGGCTAGAGCTGAAGGCCATTCATCTAGCACTCACACAATTTCAACGGTTTGTGCAAAACGGTCATGTTCTGGTGTTGACGGACAACATGGTGGCGAAGGCACATGTCAACCGTCGGGGGTACCCACTCAAAGCGTCTCATGGAGGAATCATTTTGCCTAGGCAAATGGGCAGAGCAACATCTCCTCTCCATCAGAGCGGACCACATAGCGGGGATAGAGAACACACAAGCAGATTTCCTCAGCAGGACCGAGGTGGACAATGGCGAATGGCAGATCCATCCTGACATATTCCAGCAGATGTGCAACAGGTTCGGCATTCCAGCCATAGATCTCTTCGCAACGAACCTGAACACCCAGCTTTCTCGCTTCTTCTCAAGGTTCCCGACACCAGGGGCGGAAGGGGTCAACGCTCTTCGTCTCACCTGGCCACCCGTTCTTCACTACGCCTTCCCACCGTTGCCTCTGATTCCGGCTCTGATTCGGAAGGTCATCACCGACAGGGCAGAAATTATCCTTGTGGCTCCACACTGGCCATGCCGTCCGTGGTTCGCAGACCTAGTCAGTCTCTCCATATCTCACCCTTGGAAGATTCCACCAGACCAGATTGTGCTGCGTCAGGGAACCCTGCTTCATCCGGACCCTCAGTGGCTCCAACTGACTGCATGGCACTTGAAGGGGCCCATCTAAGGCGGGACAATTATTCGGATAGGGTGATCCACATTGTTCAATCCTGTAGACGTAGATCCACAGTCAGACTCTACAATATCACCTGGCTAGCCTTTTATAGGTGGTGTCGATCCCGACGGATAGACCCTGTTTCAGCCTCACCTTCCCAGATCCTAGAGTTCCTCCAGGATGGATTTGACCATGGCCTGGCCCATAGCACCCTTCGGAGACATGTGGTGGCTCTGTCTACAGCCTTATCCAGTCCATCTGGACAGCCACTCACTCAGCACCCTGTGATAAAAAAGTTCCTGCAAGGAGCCAGGCTCTTACAGCCCTCCTCAATTCATAGGTATCCTACTTGGGACTTGCCCAAGGTCCTTAACGCATTAACTGAGGCTCCCTTCCAACCCCTCCGCACAGTCCACCTTTGTTTCCTCGCCCTTAAAGTAGCCTTCCTCATAGCCATAACGTCAGCCAGGCGCATATCAGAGCTGGCAGCCCTCTCGGTTAGGGAGGATCTCTGTATTTTCTGGCCGGACACAGTTATTTTGAGATTGGACCTCTCATTTAAACCTAAAGTTAATTCCCTCTTTCACAGGGCTCAGGAGGTTATTCTACCCAATTTCTGTCCACGGCCCTCTCATACCTTGGAGCGAAGGTGGCATACCTTAGATGTACGGAGGGCCCTAAAAATTTACATCAAAAGAACTGCCCCTTTCAGAAAATCTGAGGCCTTATTCATTTTCTTCTTACCAAGTTCCCTGGGGTACAAGGTCTCTTCTGCAACAATTGGTCGCTGGATCAGAGCTTGCATCGCTTCGGCATATCAGGCCCAGGCGATCCCTGTTCCCAGTCGCATTACTGCCCACTCCACTCAGAGTGCTGCCACTTCAGCAGCTTGGGCGACCCAGGCCTACCTTGAGGAAGTCTGGAGGGCGGCCATCTGGTCTACTCCCTCGCCGTTCATATGTCACTACAAGATAGATGTTTTTGCTTCTGCTGAAGCGTCATTTGGCAGGAGGGTTTTGCAGCAGGTGCACCATGCAGGGGTCTCTCCAGGCCCTTTGACATCCCGCCCTTGAGACTGCCAAAACTTTGGTATGTCCCTCATCTGGACAATGTCACACCCTGATCAAGGAAATTGGGAAATTAGTCTTACCTCAAATGCCAGATTTCTTGATGGGGGTGACATTGTCCAGCCCCTCCCTCTGTCTCAGTTCCTGTACAATTAATTGTTCTTGTTCAAGTAGTTTATTTCCAGTTGTCCTGTTGGACCGGTTTCTATACCTGATGATGATGGTTCCTGTTGGAGATTCTTCTTGTGGCCTTTCTTCGTCGAAACTGAGCCTGAAAGGGAGGAGCAAGGGGCATGGTCAAAAATTATGACTCAGCCAGTGTCAGATCCGACTGATACAACCTGTCATCTGAACAATGTCACCCCCATCAAGAAATCTGGCATTTAAGGTAAGACCAATGCCCATTTTGCCCAATTTAGGGAAAGTCATTCTAAATACATTACATGGATCAATCATACAATCTTGAATAGAGATAATCATATAATTATGTTCCTTTCTAAAGCAAAATATAGTTTTCAGCTGTATGTTCACGTTGTTATATTCACATACTGCATTAAGCAATAATATAATTTATTTATTTAGGTCTGACAGCTAACACATTTTAAAAGCACTGCTTAGGGAGAATTGGTGGCGTAAAATGAGGACCCGGATTGTGGGGGCAATAAGCTGACTTTGTATAAAAAAGAACACCGCTTTGGGGGGGGGGGGAAGCCCTACTAAGCAGGTATATATAAAAGTATGAAGGCTATTGCTTAACGCATTAGTCTTGTAAGCCGCCCTGAGTTTCCGGAGAAGGGCGGCATATAAATCGAACCAATTAATTAATTAATTAATTAGTTAATTAACGTAGTCCCTTGTCTCAGGCATTGCTACTATTGCTTTACACATTTCCTGCCTACCTTTTTGGCTTTGAAGCTCCTGCTGGATTAATACAGTGTGAAGGTTCTCAGCACAATACTGAGTGTCATTTATACTCACCAGTTTTTCACAGTCTCAAATTCCTCCTATGGTAACTTCCTACTAGGAAAAAGGAGTGTTTCCAAACATTCTATATGACTGCAAAATACCACTCCTCCTTACTATTCATGTAGGGATTGTAGGAGAGATGTGGTAGTCTATGGTGGCAAAAAAATCAGGAAAAGTCTGCTGGCCCTTTTTTTGACTAACATATTTTTTAAGAGGCTGCAGATTTGCTTTTTAATAAAATGTATTAGTTGGAAAAGGTGCTACCAGATTTCTTTTAATTAATGTAGTAAGTTATGCTGATGGAGGTTTGTAATTTGCAGTTGTAGTCTATATGACGTATTTTCTAAGTATAAGACTTCCAATAATTACTGCATCGAATAGATTTTTAAAAAATCATGCTATGATTTTCTTTTTAAAAAGCTTAGTCTCCATTGAGGGTGGAGACAGCAGCCAGGAATGGGTGTTTTAGCTTGTTCAGCTTGAAGGACTGAGACTGTTGCAAAATTAAGCTCCTCTTGTTGCTAGGGATCTCCAGCTTTTTTCTCAGTCCTTCAGCCTGGACAGATGTCTCAGGCTCTGTGTCTCTTCACTACCTTCCTTTTACCCTTCCTGGTTGCTATCCTTGCCTTTTTGGACTTTAACCAATTTGAATTTCTACAAACTGTGAGTTACTGAGGACTTTGTTCTTCAGTGGACTTGGTTCCTGTTCCCTGCAGGCTTGCCTGCTGGGGAGAAGTCATTTTCCCCCATCCCAACTAGCTAGATAGAATTCCTCCGTTGAACTTGCAGGCGTTTCGGAGAGGCTTGTTTTGTTTGGCTTCCGGGGGGGGGGTGCGCTTCAGCGCTGAGTGGAGCTTCATGCTCCCAGCGTTCAGCCTTGTGGTGAGAAGCCTGGGGCTTCATTGATGGCTGGTCGGGCGGCATTGATTGCTACATCCAACTGAACACCGCCCGCCTTGTGGAGCTGCAGGTGGAGCTTTGCGCTCGCGTTTCACCCGCCTGCAATATCTACAGGGTATCGGCCGATTTGACTGCCTTTCAAGAGGAGTTTTTTCTGCCGCATCAGGAGCTTCGCGCTCCACGTTTAGCGGCTGGCAGTCTTTAAATTCAGGAGCTTCACACTCCATTGCTGGTGACTAGCGGCCACCTTTCATCAGGAGCTTCGCGCTCCATTGTCCGTTCCAGATGGCCGTTTGGAGGCTCAGGAGCTTCACGCTCCATAGATTGCTGGGGGAAGTGCCATTTTGCTCTGTGGGGCTTAGAGCTCCGCTGCTGGACTGTTGGATGCCATTTTGGATGCCCGGGAGCTTCGTGCTCCATTGACTGGCAGTTTGGCACCATTTTATGCCTTTCAGGGCTTGGCAGGTTGCACTTGGGTTTGGTGCTCATTTTTCTTCTAAATTTGGCAGCTGTCCTCGGACTTGGGCCAGAGGAGCTTTGTTTCTACTCCTTCATGGTGATTGGGAGGATATTCCCTCTCATTGTCTCTGGAACCTACTGCTCTGAGATTGCCGTTCAAATTGAGGCAGCCATTTGCAATTGCTGTCTGACTGGTGGCCATTTTAGTGTACCTCCTTGTGATTACCTTCATCAGGCCCTGTCCCTAACTCCGTATTGCCCCTCCTACTTACCATCAGGATGCCTAAGGCACTCTCCAAATCCAAGCATGGCCGAAAGGCTGGATCTACTGGCCAGGCTGATAGGGTGCCCTTGAGTGCAGAATCAGGACCTTTACAATCTACTTCTGTCACGGGCACTCCCTCCAAGGGAAGGTCCTCTCAGTCTCATCATGCTTCTCACAGTATCAGCTCTACTGCTACTAGGGACGAGAGGCACAGAGACCAGGCCTTGCAGAAAATCTGCAATAAGGCCAGCAAACATAGGCCCCCTTCCTTACAGGAGCTTCCCCAAGTTCCTTCCCATGGTGGCATCTGACCAGATCTCTCTGCGGGACTGCCCCATTTCGGTCTCCACTTCTGCATTGTGGGGATCTTCTGGGCCCTCAGCCTCTACTCCTCCTCCTCTCCCTCTTGAGGGGGCATGGTGTCCGACCCAGGGCACACCCCTGGACTTCCTGAACCCCCTCTAAGACATAATAGAGAAGCTTTGCTCCCTGATCACCTACAACAGATTTTTTCCAGGGCTCTACAGATGTCGTTAGAAGCTGGCTATCTTCAGCTGAGTGAAGATCTTTATGTGAGGTCGGGGGCTTCTGCCTCTCCTGAGCGAGACATCCAGGATGATCAGCTTTCCTGTCCAGAGTTGGTGTTGTCGCCTTTTTCACACACATCTCGCCCTGCTAACCTTGACGAGTTCGATCAGCCGGGACCCGATCTGTCTGAGGACAAGGGCCTCAAGCCGGAACAGCCGGCCTTTACCGGTCTTTCCCCTCCGGCAGTTTTTAAATCATTACTCTTTAAAGCACTCAAACAGCGCAATTGGGCCCACCCGCTACTGGAGAGGTTTCCCAAATGCCCCAAAAGTCGTTTAACCCCCTTTTTTCTGAGCCAACTAAACCTGTCGATTCTATTCCAGCTCCTCCACTTTTCCTGGACGTTATCCAGCGCCAGTGGACGTCACCTGGATCTGCTCTGGCTCTTTCTTCCCTGGACAAATGCTTCTTTAATGTAGCTCCCGAGATGGCCTCTCTGCTCCAAATTCCCGCGATTGATGCCCCTATTGCAGCATTACTACCTCACACTGCCATCCCAGGCGAATATGACGAAGGTCTTCGCCCTGAGGAACGCCGCTCCGATCAGACTCTCCAACGGGCTCATTTAGGAGCTGCTTGGGCATTAAATCTGCCACCACAGCCTCCTTCTTTAACAGGGCGACATTGCTATGGTTGAATCAACTCCAAAGTAAATTGCCTCCTGTGGACTCCAGGCTGCAGCAAGACCTAAATAAAATCATCGCAGTAGTCCAGTTTTCGGGAGACGCCACCCTCAACTCTGCCCGCTTCGCTTCAAAGTCTATGGTTTCAATGGTGGCGGCACGCCGACTTGTTTGGCTTCAACATTGGCAGGCAGATGCCCGTCACAAGTGGTGTCTGGCGTCTTCCCTCTTTACGGGGGCAATTTAGTTGGCTCTTCTTAGGACCCGTTCCTCATAGAGTCGAAAGACAAACACAAAATATTACCTTTTCGCAAAGTAAATCTGACATTCGATTCTCTCCCTTTTTCACAGGCCTCCTGTGAGGGAATCCAACTGGGGTGCTGGAACTTCCTGTTCTCAGGGGTCCTTCGTACCTAGACAGCGGGGGACCCAAGACAGGCCATACAGAGATAGAACGCTCCCTGGCAAGTGGCCCTTTCGAGGGGGAGGAAGCCATCTTTTCTGCCACCAACGATAGCTGTATGTCTGACGGTCCCATCGGCAGCAGGCTAGCTTTATTTGCTGACCGATGGGACATTCTTACATTGGATTCTTGGGTCAGGGATACGGTAAGATCTGGTCTATCACTTGAATTTCTCTCCACCCCTCCGAGTTTCTTTATTCGCTGTCCCGTTTCTAGAGATGGGCACAAAAAGGCCCTCATGGATTTGGCCGTGAAACACCTACTGGACATTCATGCCATCCAGCAGGTGCCAGAGGATCAGGGGGGCCAAGGGTTTTATTCCCTGCTCTTTCTGGTCCCCAAATCCTCGGGTGAGTGGAGACCTATTCTGAACCTTAAAAAACTGAACCGCTATGTGGTTTATAAGCGGTTCAAAATGCAGTCTCCTCAATCTATTTTGCCTGGCATCAGGAACGGCGACTTCCTCACTTCAATTGACCTCACTGAGGCTTATTTACATATCCCCACTTTTTCCCCACATCACAAATATCCCGACTTTTTCCCCACATCACAAATATCTGCGGTTTTATTATGCCGGTACGCATTATGCTTTATCATTTTTTTTTTTAATTTGATTTATATGCCGCCCTTCTCCGAAGACTCAGGGCGGCTTACAATGTGCTCAGCAATAGCCTTTATCCTTTTGTATATTTATACAAAGTCAGCTTATTGCCCCCACAAACTGGGTCCTCATTTCACCTACCTTAGAAAGGATGGAAGGCTGAGTCAACCTTGAGCCTTGGCGAGATTCGAACCCTGCAGTAATTGCAGGCAGCTGGTCTTAATAAGCTTAATAACAGGGTGCCTTAAACCCCTGTAGTACCAAGGCTCTTTTTGGATTGTCCTCTGCCCCCTGTGCCTTTACTAAGGTACTAGCCGCCTTGGCGGCTCATCTTCAGGCCATCCCTGTCCGGGTCCAATGTTACTTGGATGACATTTTTGTTAGGAAATGATTTTACCTAACTTGT